AAGTCTGAGCTGGGATTTCTGTTTAGTTAAACAAAATCTAATTAGAATGTATAGTCCTTCCTCTAAACATCTGACATTCTCAACTAAGATGACACGCATGCACCTTCCTATAGAAATGGAGAACTGGGGAGGGGCAAGGGAGGGAGCCCAAACATCCTGAAGTCTTCCGACAGGGATTCCCCAATGGTGGGCCACCAACAAGACCACTCGTGCCAGGAGCAGGAATGTCCGCAGGGCATGGGAAAAAGTCTGTCCATGCACGTGAAAAACAGGCAGGGCTCCAACTGCTCCTTCGTGGCTGCCCTCTAGACACTCCTTGCAATCCCCCTCCCCCCCCAGGTTCCTACCCCATTGCTGGGGCCTTGAAACCTTTGGATTCTGCCAGAGGCAGCCTGAGACGGGCCCAACCCAGGCTGGTCAGCAGTTCTCCAAGAGCCTCATGTGAGGGAGGGGCCTTTCCCACCCTCACCAATCCAAAATGCCTTCTTTGTCTAAAGACACGTTTTCTAAATTACTGAACCTTCTGGTCAAGTTTTCCATCACTTTCAGACAGGAAAGAAAAGAGAAAAACAACAACACAATAGTTGGAGCGTGAAAGCAAAGAGGGTTGCAATGTTTCAGACAGCCACTGGGGGACAGCAATGAGTTAGAATTTCTGCATGCTTTTTGTGGCCATCTGGTGGCCATCCAGATGCTTGCAGACTTATCCATAAAATGTATGTAGGGCAGAAAAAATAGAGGAAAAGACATCTCTGGAGTCCTCCGTGCTCTCTGAGCTTGGTGGTTTGCTTGCAGACATTTCGTTACCCAACTAGGTAACATCATCATTGCTAACCCCACTGTCACTAGCACTGATGATGTCAACTAGTCAGGTAATGAAACGTCTGCAAGCCAACCACCAAGCTCAGAGAGCACCAAGACTCCACAGTTCAGCCCCAAGCTGCAGAGATTCTCTTCTATTTGAACCCCCAGATAAGCAGGGATTAACACCAGACAAACAATCAAGCAGAAAACAATACCCTAATCAAAGAACTACCAAGGAGAAAACCTCACCCCACCAAAACTGCCAGGGCAAGCTACTGTATAAAAATGGGGCAAACCCCACACTCACTAACACTGATGATGTTCCTTAGTCGGATCATGAAATGTCTGCAAGCAACCGCCCAGCTCAGAGACCACCAAGGACTCAGTTCAACACATATTCTCTTCTACTGGAAAAAATCTCTTCCCACCCAAGCTGTTCATCCAACCATCGATCCCTCTCTCTTCATCACTTTTTTCCATTCAACCCACATCTCTCTCTCTCTCCTTGCCCAACCTACCTCTGTCTCTCTGTCTATCCATTTTTATCTGTTTTCCAACAGACTGTTCTTTTCCTGTAGCATAGCAGCCTGGTGGCCCTCCAGATGTGTGAACTTGGAGGCCCAGAAACCGCAGGAATGTCCACGCTGGCTGGGAATTCTGGGAGTTGAAATCTATGCATCTGGAGTGTACCCAGATGTAAGAGGGCTACTAGAAACAGTTGAAGAATGCTTCATGTACCAGACATGGTAGAATATCTAATGCTGGCTTACCCTTATGACCCCATGGGTGTTTTGATGCCTCCCCTGACTTTTTTCAATTCCTCTGACATTTTACTTCTCAGCCTTGTATCAGATAGATGAGGAATCTTGTAACAGAAAGCCATATATATAATCCAATATTATTGGGGTTTACTTGTGAAATCAAGCCACAATCAGTCTCTACCAGCCAGCCTTCAAAAAGGTAACATGAAAGATTTCCGGTTGAAATATTAACTGATTATTTTTCTTGGTAATTATTAATCGCCCCTTAGAAAATCACCTAAACAAAGGTTATATTATAAGGATTTTCCTAAAGAGCAAGCAGTGAATTGGAAAGGCCTAAGTGTTTTGAAGGGAAAAGAAACAAAAATACAGTATTTAAAACTTTGAGCATTTTAAATATTTTTGTTGGCTGATTTTTTAAAAAAAAAATACGTCTGGTTGCTATTTATCTGTACAGAAATGTTAATTGTTTGAAATACCGAGCAGGTACTGTAAACCACGTTGGGACTTTCCATCAATCAGAAACAGCAATCTGCAAAAAATTTGCATTTTCCCAGGGGAAAATCATGGTGGGGACGTATAACACCAGTGGGTTCCCATATGATCACCTGGTCTTCCAAGAAGTGCCAGAAAAAACCTTTAGCTGGGTTTGTAAAAAGCCTTTTCAAAAATAAAAGAGACCTTCCGGCCCCATTATCGCATTTAGAGATGGCTGGTTGATGGAAGGTAGCTTCGTGCTTGGGTTGGAGACCTCACCACCAAGAAATCTCATCCCCAGGGCTGGACTGAGAAGTCGAAAGAAGGCAATACCCGCTGTGTCCACACCATTGCCAAGGAAACAGGATGGACCTGTTTGTGAAACCACCAGGCGGAGAGGCTCGAACTGAAGGCATCCTTCTTTGCATCTGGCAATCTCTGTGGGCCCCTGATGTGCACATTTTCCTTGTGGTGCTTGACGTAAAAAACCTGCCCCCCTCCTGAAACGGGTTTTGATCACTGGTTTTATTCGAAAGGGAATGAATCGCTTGAGCAGAAAATCAGGAAGTCTCATACTTTTTATTTGAAGGCATCAACTTTCGCGAGAGGCAACCTCATACTTTGACTCAAATTGGGGAGTTGGGCATGATGCCAAATTCCCAGAATCCTCCTGTTTTTGTGCCATCAGAGACTCACATGGCTCTCCTCCTACGGTGTCAATCAGAAGAAGAGTATCACTCCTGACTTTCACTCTTAACCTCATCGGGAACCAAGCACGTGGGAATTAGCGTTCTTTGGAAGGCCTTTCTCCACTTGCACAGCACCATGGTACAAACGTGCCCGTGAATCTTTGTCCTCCTTCTGAATCTGGGTAACCTGGACGTTTTCCCTGACCTTGAGTGAGATGCGCTAATGTTGGGCCGTGTTGAAACAAGCGCATCCCGGAAGATGCTACGCATATGGGAATGTATATGGAGTCACCAGAAGATGAGCTTCACTCAAGGGTGACTTTGAGTCCACAGGAGATGGAAGCACTAGGTGATCTAAGTGGGATCAGATTGGCTAGAATGTGGATGGGAGACCATGAGGAAATCCCAGGGATGTAAACTAAACTGGGATGGGGGAAAAAATCCAGAAGACAATGGCCAATCACTTCCACATGGTTGCCAAGAAAACCATATGGATATGGAACTTAACTTAACTGCATGAAAAAGCAGTATAGATTTTGCTATATCTAAAGCAGTGTTTCTCAACCTTGGCAGCTTGAAGAGGTGTGGACTTCAACTCCCAGAATTCCCCAGCCAGCCATGCT